AGGCAACTGGCAGTTGGAACAGAGTTCATGTGGGGAGGGAGAGGGGAATGTCTAACTCCTTAGCATCAGAGCGTGTTAATATAAGGCAACTGGCAGTTGAAACAGAGGTCTTTTCAGGTGGGGAGGGGGGGGAGAACTCCTTAGCATCAGAGCGTGTTAATTACTGTATAAGAAATACTAATGATCTGATGGTCATTTTGAAAAATCCTTTCTTAGCAAGCACCTAGACGCCAAGAGGAACATACGTGCCAAATTTCAAGTTTGTAGGGTTTACGGTTCTGGAGATTTTGTGATGAGTGAGTGGTATTTGCCTTTTATAGAGAGAGAGACGACCGAAGTGTTATCTTCAGCACAGGCAGTTCTCATGCCAATCCCTGGATTTAAAATAAATATAGATAGTTCTCAACTTATAGTGGTTTAGGGACCGTTCAAAGTTATAACGGCACTGAGAAAAGGGACTTATGACTGATTTTCACACTTATGACCCTAGGGATCACGAGATCAAAATTCGGATGCTTGGCAACTGGCATGGACTTATGACAGTTCTAGTCTCCCCCAGGGGCCACGCAGTCTCCCTTCCGTGATCTTCCGACAAGCAAAGTCGATGGGGAAATCGGATTCACTTAACAACCGGGTTACCGACTTAACGGCTGCAGTGATCCACCGTGGCAAGAAAAGTCGTAAAAATGGGGCAAAACTCACTTAACAAGCATCTTGCTTAGCAACAGAAATTCGGGGGCTCAACTAATGGTCTTACGTTGAGGACTACCTTGTCAATGGGAAATTGCGTCCATTGTCCATCATATAGATATTCACTAACACTTATGGCGGGTGTCCTATACCACAGGTGGGGAACAATGGATCCTTTTATGTGGACTTCAACTCCCAGAATTCCATTCTGCCTCAGGAATTCTGGGAGTTGAAGTTCTGGCAGTGAGAAGAGTTTTATAGCAATAGCACTTAGACTTATATACCACTTCACAGGGCTTTACAGCCCTCTCTACATGGTTTATAAATGTCAGCATCTTGCCTTCAACAATCTAGGTCCTCATTTTACCGACCTCGGAAGAATGGAAGGCTGAATCAACCTTGAACCGGTCAAAATCAAACTCCTGACAGTCGGCAGAGTTAGCCTGCAATACTGCATTCCCGCCACTCTGCCCCCACGGCGCTTCACAGCTCTCTCTGTGCCCTTCTGAACGATCTGTCTTGCCTACAAATGTTTGTAACGTCGTCTCAATGTTTGTAAACAATACCAAAGAAACACCATATTGAAATCGATCACGGCTCAAGCTAAGGAAAAAACTAAAACTGTCAGTCAATTTCATGCACCAGAAAGCGTTGAGACTTTTCAGCTACAGTGGCGGTCCTTTGCTACTCAACTGCTTTGAAACTCATCAAATTTGGTACTCAACGCATTTTGATGTGAAAATTTTGTCCTGGTACTCGTCGTTTGTTTAGTACTCAACTCACAAGCCAGAACTTGGCTGTGTCGGCTGCCTTGTGACTCACTACATTATTCCTTAGGGGGGGGAATTGTTTGGTATTCATCATTTCTGATACTCATCGCTCTTCCAGGAACCAATTAACGCTGAGCATCGAAGTACCACTATTTATGGCTCCCACACAGGTCAGGAAAAGCTGAATAAGACCTGGAGGAGGCCTGGAGATTAAAGCATATGACGAACCGTTGCAGGAATTGGGTATGGCTAGTATAGAGAAAAGAAGGACCAGGGGAGACATGATAGCAGTCTTCCAATATTGGAGGGGCTGCCCCAAAGAAGAGGGAGTCAAGCTATTATCCAAAAGCACCTGAAGGCAGGACAAGAAGCAACGGATGGAAACTAATCAAGGAGAGAAGCAACTTGGAATGAAGGAGAAACTTCCTAGCGATGAAGACAATTAACCAATGGAACAGAAGTTGCCTTCAGAAGTTGTGGGGTGTTCCATAACTGGAGGTTTTTAAGCAGATACTGGACAGCCACTTGTCTCGAATGGTATAGGATCTCTGGCCTGAGCAGCGGGTTGGACTAGAAGACCTCCAAGGTCCCTTTTCCAGCTCTGTTCTGATTGATTGAGTGAAATGTGCATAAGGGTCTTTTCCGCTATCAAATGTTCAAAAGAAAAAAATGGATAGGATACGTAACAGAATTGGAAAAGGTCTTGGGGGTCTTCTAGTCCAGCGGTCACCAACTGGGGGTCCGTGCGAAAATTTTGGTGGTCCGCAGAAAAATGATTTGCATTTTTTTATATTGCACTAAACCAGGGGTCCTCAAACTACGGCCCCTGGGATGGCTAGGTGCAATGAACGCTTGTTTTGCTGCAGAGAGTCTCCCCCTTCGGGGTCTTTTTGTGGGGGTCGGAAGGGGGCAGAAATTCCCACTTGGGGTCTGCTTCAGCCTCCTGGTGGGGGGCTTTGGGCGAAGGCTGGAGGGAAGCACCACTGGTGGCGAAGAGCCGGAGGGCCTCGTTCCAGTGGGACTGCATCATGGCGTGGAACTGGCTGACCATCTCAGCCCACTGAGCCTCCAGGCGCCGGCGCCTGGCCTTGCACTCCTGCAGGTCTTCCCTCTGCTTGGAAACCCTATGCTGCTAGTCCTCAGTGAGGTGCTTCTGCTGAGCCTCCTTCTCGGTCCGATCCAATTTGAACTGTGTTGTTTTGCCAACTCTTTCTCCTGGGGGCTGCTGAGCTCCAGCAACTGCTTCCTGTTGGGACCCTAAGGAGCCTGGGGGGGGCAGGGGAGGCGTGCCTGGGAAGGGAGGGGCGAGTAGAGGCTGTCGAAGCGTCCCTTGTTGCGAGTGACACCAAGCTGGCCACGCCCACCCAGCCACATGACCACCTAGCCACACCCACCCAGCCGGTGATTAGGCAGATCATATTAGTGGCCCGCGGGATTTAAAATTATGAATTCCCCGAGGTCCGAAAGGTTGGTGACCCCTGTCCTAGTCTAACCCCCTCCCCTGCTAGGCAAGATACTCTCTACCATTTCAGACACATGGTGGTTCAATTCCATCTTAGTAAACTTTAATGTTAATGCAAATGAGTGATCATCTCTTTTTTTAGCTATTTCCTACCTGTTGTTCATCCTCCATGACATTGCTAGCAAACTCAAACATCAACTCGTTTTGCTGCACCAGGGCGGCCATGCTCGAGCATTCCAAGGTCTCAATTCAGCATGGAATTAAAAATGCTCCTTCAGCATCCAGAAAGCGGATTGACTATCGCCCGGGAGGAGTTTGCACGGGGACAGGAGACGGCAAAGTTACTCAGAAGCCGGGGAGAAGAAATCCTTATTCCTTTGGAAGTGACATTCAGCACCGTTTCTTGAAAAGCCCCCTAAAAAAAAGGAAAAAAAAAAAGAACAACAGGAAGATTAAGTCAGTATGAATAATCAAAGAAAAATGCAAACGGCGGAGATACGAATTAGGTCGTGCTTTGGTTTGATAAGACTTTGCTAGAGTTTCTTAAGAACAGATAAGAATAATGGGTGGCTTACAAAATGTGAAGCATGTGTCTTTTTGCCATTTCTTTCTCTCCTTCTCTTTTTCTCTCTTTCTTCCTCCTCTCTTTCTTTCCCTCTCATTCTTTCTTTTTTTTCTCCTTCTCACTCTCTCTCCTGTCTGTCTCTTTTTTCTTCTCTCTCCTTCTCTCTCTCTCTCCTCTCTCTCTCTATTTCTCGCTCCCCCCATTTCTCTCTCCTCTCTTTCTCTCCCTTTCTCTCTCTCTCTTTCATTCTCCTTCTCTCTCTCTCTCTCCTCTTACTTTCTTTCCTCTTTCTCTCTCTCTCTCCTTTCTTTCTCGCTGCCCCTATTTCTCTGTCTTTCTATCTCTCTCCTCTCTCTCTATTTCTCGCTCCCCCCATTTCTCTCTCCTCTCTTTCTCTCCCTCTTTCTCTCTCTCTCTCTTTCATTCTCCTTCTCTCTCTCTCCTCTTTCTTTCTTTCCTCTTTCTCTCTTTCTCTCTCTCCTCTCTTTCTCTTTCTCGCTGCCCCTATTTCTCTGTCTTTCTATCTCTCTCTCCGCTCTCTCTTTCTCGCTCCCCCCCTCTCTCACACACACAAAGATACACAACACACACACACAAAACTACCAGGAAGAAAGTTAAACGCTAACAATCCAGCCTGAAAACAAGGGCTACCGAACACCCACCCAATGCTAGCAGATCCGTTTTACAATGTCAATCCAACGTCTCTCTTGGCTACGCTTCTGTTGAAAAAAAACAACAACATTACGACGTCACAATCTCTCAGATTGTGTAAAAACAAAACAACAAAAAAAGACGTCTTGGACCCTCTTTGTAACCAAGCAGACGTGGAGGCATATTTCCTTCCAACACCCCTAACCAGTCGCTGCCCCAGTTATACAAAAACACACACACACAAACACACACACACACACAGACAAGCAACTTCTTATCTCTAAAACGGGCTTGTAAGCAGCAGGAAGGAAGCACGGGCCACGTCATGGCAAACGAAACTTGCAAAGGGAGCTTGAGAGACAGAAATGCACCCCTATGTGCTGGTGGGAGGGGGGGGGAGAGAGAGCTTTTTGTTCCCCTCCCTCTAACTTCTGATGCATAAGGTTGAGCTAACAGAGGGAAGCAGGAAGGGATGAGTTCGATCGCAGAGCCATTAAGCCACAGCCTGATTAAAAAAATGCAAACCGAGCATTGATAAAGCCGGTCCTCGACTTACGACAAGTTCATTCAGCGACCGTTCAAAGTGACAACAGGACCGGGGGCGTGTGGAAGGGACATGATCGTGTTTCTCAGTTCTGTCCTTTGCCGCACACACACACACCCCACACACACACAGTCCCCTGATCAAAATTCAAAGGCTGGGCAACCGGCATATACTTATGACGGACGCAGTGTCCCAAGGCCAAGGTGATGATTCCCCTTTTGCCACCTTCCGACAAGCCAAGTCAATGGGGACGCCGGATTTGCTCAACAACCACGTTAATAACTTAACAACCGAGGCAAAAAAGGTAGCAAAACCGGGCAAAACCCACTTAACAAACGTCTCACTTAACAGCAGAAATTTGGGGCTCCATTGTGGTCATATGCCCAGGACTGCCTGTATGTGTGTGTAGAGCAGAGCAGAGCACTGGAATGAAGAATAGAGTAGAGTAGAGTAGAGTAGAGTAGAGTAGAGTAGAGTAGAGTAGAGTAGAGTAGAGTAGAGTAGAGTAGAGTAGAGTTAGAATATTCGAATGAAGAGTAGAGTAGAGGAGAGTATTGGAATGAAGAGTAGAGTAGAGGTAGAATATTGGAATGAAGAGTAGAGTAGAGTAGAGTAGAGGAGTAGAGTAGAGTAGAGTAGAGTAGAGTAGAGTAGAGTAGAGTTAGAATATTCGAATGAAGAGTAGAGTAGAGTAGAGGAGAGTATTGGAATGAAGAGTAGAGTAGAGGTAGAATATTGGAATGAAGAGTAGAGTAGAGGAGAGGAGAGGAGAGTAGAGGTAGAATATTGGAATGAAGAGTAGAGTAGAGTAGAGTAGAGTAGAGTAGAGTAGAGTAGAGTAGAGTAGAGTAGAGTAGAGTAGAGTAGAATATTGGAATGAAGAGTAGAGTAGAGTAGAGTAGAGTAGAGTAGAGTAGAGTAGAGTAGAGTAGAGTAGAGGAATGAAGAACAGAATAGCATAGAATATAGAATGTATTT